CATAACACGATAAATGGCTAATCCTTATTGGGTGTTAACTATTTGTACATTAATTACATTAGCTTGCCTATTTTACTTAGATTAGTGTATTGTGTGTATCTATTACCTCTTTATTAGAAAGAAAAATGTTGCCATACACTAGCCAAAGAAATTGTTTTCAATTAGAGATGCTTCTTTGAATGATATTTCTAAGCCATTCTTGATATTAACATGATTATCGACATTGTTGGAGTCTAACTGAACTGTCATATGATCCGTAAAGGTTTCCTTTCAAAGCTATTAAATGAAAATTCTTTGTAATTAAATATTTCAGAAAACTTTTATTTTTCATCTGCAATTAACAGTCTAGGAGGCATATAACATACAGGTTTAGAAAATAGTCTGTTTCCAAGAGAAAATATATTTAGGTATTGTTAAAGAGAATGATAGAGTTATTTCAGTATACACTGTATAATTATACTGCTTTTATTAGACTTTCATATCACCTGACAGAATTCAGTACTAGTGGAAGAGATAAGGATATGACAAAAAGTGAAGGTTGAGAATGAATAGGCCTTCAAGGGAGATGATCTTTCTCTGATCTGATAAACCTCTCCCATTCTCTATTTCTGTTTGTTCTTTTTTTCTTTATCTTCTCTTTTTTTCTTTTTCTTTTTCTTACAGATCACTGCATATCAAAAGCTTTCTCTTTGATTAGCAGTATTCTCTCAGGATCTGAGGGCAAGACCTATGTAAAGACAGTTTGCCAGCTGACATGATTTTTTGTGCTTTTGTTTTTTGTCTTCAGCGATTTCTAAAAATTTGCTGGGAAATTTTCTGTTAGCCTGAAATAGTTTTCTATCAGTGTTTCTGGTTTTGGTACTATTATATCTTTATATATTCTCTGAATGTTTGGTGATGTTAACATTTTAATGGGTTTAATGGAGACTAAATGTTGGTCTTGTAGTATGAGTACAGGCTTTGGAGTCAGAAGGCATAAAGTCCATTTTCTTAAGCTTATGAGTCCTCAGAATAGTCTTGAAATGATTTTCTGTTTTAAATGCTCAAACCAATAGGTAGATAGGGATGTATATATATATATATATATATACACACACAATTTTTTTTTTAAGATTTTATTTATTTGACAGAGAAAGAGACACAGCGAGAGAGGGAACACAAGCTGGGGGAGTGGGAGAGGGAGAAGCAGGCTTCCCGCCGAGCAGGGAGCCCGATGGCAGGGCTCGATCCCAGGACCCTGGGATCATGACCTGAGCCGAAGGCAGACACTTAATGACTGAGCCACCCAGGCGCCCCGGGGATGTATGTATTATTAATACATCCATGACATTGTATATATACTCATCATTCTATATCCAAGGAACTTTCATAAACACATAATGCTGTTTCATTTATAATAAAGCCATTTAATGAATCTATCTGGTTTATCTTAGTAAGAGCAGAATTGTGTCCATCTCCTCTCACAGGTATTTATGCTGAATTGAGTCTTTTGTATCTATCTATACTTGGTTTGGTTTTAATGTTTGATACTAGATTAAACTACTATAAATTAAATGAGAAAAAAACACACTTTCCTTATTCTGAATTAAGTTATTGTTACAGGATATACTTACGTAGCCATAGCCATAACTGTAGTTATATACTGAGCAAATGTTCACATTTAATTAGGTAGGAATTTTATCAGTCTTAGCACAATTTGCCAGTGGCATTTAGCAGTAGATCATTGGCTTTAAAACTAAACTGTCACTTGACCAGAATCGAAGTTAATTAAGGACTTGAAGCATCCAGAAGACATGTCAGTTTTCTATAAGTCGTGGCTAGCTGGTCTTTTGCCACAAGAAAGAGCACCATCATCAACTATTTGTATTAGTCCCCAAGACAGACTCCTTAAGTGTAAAGTTGTCTTATGCTTTATCATGAAATTTACTAGATAAATATTTCATTAATTTTTGCGTAAGCCAAGGTAGTACATTTTCATGATTATGTATTTATAGATTTCTAAGCTGGGGCTATAAAAATTAGCAACTTTTGAGCTTTAAACCAACCTTTCAAATACCTTTTTCTTCTTGTACGTAACTACATGTCTTTAAGTTTCTAAAACCATTTTAGAATCTTGGAATAAATGGCATTCCTTCATAAAATGAGTGTTTAAAAAATAAGGAAAAAATAAGGAAATAAAGCTGATTTGGTCTGTCCTCCTAGGAGAGTTGTCTTTTAGAAGTTTGTTGCCATTGTCCATCCCCGTAAATTTTTTGTTTCTAGAAATAATGAACTGTGGTGATTACTGTCATTATGGCTTATTAAACATGGATTATGTTCATATCATAAGCCATGTGATTCAGAGTCAGATCAATTAAGTTGTACTTCCTTATGCTCTCCAGAGTAGAGAACAATGCCGGAGTTTGAGCTGGAGCTTTGCAAAGCATGTGTGGCTCCGTGGGTGAGAGTGTCCCCTAGTGTTTTTGTTTGTGGGGATGGCATCCTCGTTGTGTGCGTTGCGCAAGGAAAAAATCTTAACATTCCTCTCCAAGACTTAAAGACATTTTAGAGTTCTAATATTTCTTAGTCGAAAAACTTATTTAACTTAGGTAAGTTTTACCCAGTATTTTGTTTAAATTCTCCAAATGCTTAAGTTTATTATTTATCCTATACATATGAACGTTTAGCTGTTCTTGTGTTGCGTGTTAAAAATGAAGCCTTGTATTCTGAATTGTCAAGAATATGCCTTCTGGTTTATTTTCTCATTTTGTCTCTCCTTTCTCTATCTTCCCATCCTAAAGTTTTCCTACGGAGATGTTGTTTCCATTTCCACTTAATTTTTATTCACTTTTTACTACATTGTCACACTGAATTTGAATTTTCAGAAGTATTGTGTTGCAATGTCACTGAAAGGCATACACTTTTCCCTTGGTTTTACTCTATTTAGCCCTTTGTTCTTGTTAGGGATGGAGAGCCTCTTTGGGTTACTCTCCCTGGTCCTATTTCTAACATTTACTGGCTCTTCTTCTTCTCTTTTTTTGAGAGAGAGAGAGAGACAGAGAGACAGAGAGACAGAGAGAGGGAGAAGGAGCATCTTAAGCAGGCTCCATGCTCAAGTATGGAGCCTGATGAGGGGCTTGATCTCATGACCCTGAGATCATGACCTGAGCTGAGATCAGGAGTTGGATGCTTAACTAACTGAGCCACCCAGGAGCCCCTACTAGTCTTCTTTTAATCCATGTTTGCCTAGTGGCTGATAAACTGAAACCATTCTCATTTTAAGCACTCTGGAGAATTTTTCTTTTAAATTCAGCTTAGGAATTCTTAACTTTAGATCTCCCATTTGGCAATATTTTATAGTTATCGGTAATACCTACTTAATAGTTTAGTAAGTGAACAGATCATAGTATTAAATAACAGGGCATCAAAATCAGTAACTAATATAAACACTGTCATGAAGATATGTTTCCATTATTTAGTGCAGTCTAGACTTCTTTGGAAGAGCACTCCCTGAAATATAGTTCATAGTGAAAGATCAAAACATGAACCAGTAATCCACTGCAAGACTTACACTTTTCTAAAACCTAACCTGATTGTTTCTCTCTCTTAAAAATGAATTTAATATTTGTATTTATTATATTTACTGTTACGTTCTTCCTGTCTCTGCCACTCTCTTCTAGCTGTGTTGGGGGCAGGTCCTGCCGAACTTAACACTGAGTCATCTTCACAAAAAGGGACATGGAGTGCAAGTGGAATCATAATTATCTAAGTTAGATAGCTCACATCTATATTCCTGTCTACCAGACAGTGTCCTAAGCACTTCGCATTAAATCTTACTCAGTCCTTTCAACCATCCACGAGGCCTACCTTGATATTATTCACCTGAGATCGTTCCCAGGTTTGCACAGCTAGTATGTAGCAGGCTTGGTATTTCAACCCAGGCAGTCTGGTTTCAGATCTGTGTTCATCACTAAATGTCACCGTCTCTTGTAAAAGCTTATCACCCAGACAGCGCGATAGTAACTCAGACATACAAAGAGGAAAATCTGAAAACTATTAGAGAAAGAAAAAAAATAGAATTTATCTATAAAATGTGATTAGCAGACTGACAACAGACATTTTGTCTCCAACTGTACTTAACGGAATAATGTTTTTAAAAGTGCTAAGGGAAAAGTCAGGCTAGAATTCTTGAACTACGTGAATGTACAAGAGCAAGTATGAAATAAGGCCATTTTCAGATGTGCAGCTTGTGACAGTTTGGTACTCACAGATTATCTCTGAAAGAACTAGTAAGAATGTACTTCAGTCAGAAAGAAATTACTACATTTTCATGGCTTTTGGTAAAACCAAATCAAAACAAAACAGAGCTCAATATGCTTTTAAGAAAGTGCCTAGGATAGCGCTTAGCACATATTGATTGGTCTCTCAATATCATTTCCTTTCTACTTATATAGAAATGTATGAAGGTGTTTACTAAAAACAGGGTTCTACCAAGATGAATATACTCTACTTATTTTTTTAAATATTTTATTTATTTATTTGTTTGAGAGAGAGAATGAGAGAGAGAGAGCACGAGAGGGGGGAGGATCAGAGGGAGAAGCAGGGAGCCCGATGTGGGACTCGATCCCGGGACTCCAGGATCACGACCTGAGCCGAAGGCAGTCGCTTAACCAACTGAGCCACCCAGGCGCCCTATACTCTACTTATTAAAGCTTTCTCTGAAACTGCAATGTTAGTCATTGAAAGAAAGTACTCATGGTGTCCATATCTTCTGATGATGGCAGAGGTAGTAAACCATGGTATTCAAGAATAGTAGGTTATTTATATTACTTAAGAATAAATACACATATATCAACTCTAGTAGGTTAGATTACTAAATGAGAAATTATGAATCATAAATAAGGAGTTTCTTTTGCTTTTTATGTCCTTATAATTGATTTAAAAACCCCAGCGCTTTGTGTATTCACAAGTATATATTCATATGGTCATTTGAATTCTAAGATATAATGTTTCCTTTTCAGCGCTTGGCTTTGGAAGCAGAGAAGGTTCAAGCAGCCCACCAGTGGAGAGAGGATTTTGCGGTAAGGACCCTTTTTAACCACTTTAATTAGTGATGTTTTGTGCTTGATCATTATGATTACATTAACATTTTCTTAGTGATAGAATCTTAAGATGTTATATGAGCAAAACTCAGCTATATTTTGTTTCTTTAAAGAATTTGCTTTTGGGTAATGAGAGCCAATACGTTAGTCAAAATGTTCTTGCTTATTATGTTCCATATTCAAACAAGTCTTTTGAAATGTTCTCCTATAATCAAAGTTATTTATAAAATTAATTACATTTAAATAGAATTACATTTATAATATCTCAATCACCATTGTAGATATTATGGATACACTAGTTGAAAAACAAGTTGCATTTAACAACTTGGAGTTTGTAAGAAGTGTTATGCATATTATCATCGCCTTGGTGGTGGGCAATGTGATTGAAGTAAGAATGAATGTATTAAACTTTTATAATTTAATTTGCTCCACTTTCGCTAGAACAATCTTTCTTTTACTGTGGTCTACTTTTAGAAGTTCCAGCTGATACTAACTTTTCCATATATATTTTTGATAAACTTGTGCCTTAAGAATTACTGAGCTAATTATAGAAATAGCAGAAATTCTCCTGGTAATGACTTTTGTCTGTCTATCTATCATCTATCTATCTATCCATCCATCCATCCATCCATCCATCCATCCATCTTCTCTATCATCTGTTTATCTTTCTATCTTTCCATCTGTGTATCCATCCATCTATCCATCCATCTTCTTTCTTCTGTCTCTGTATCTGTGTATCCATCCACATATCTCTTCATACATTTATCAGTGTATTCAGTCTTTCAACTTATCTTATCAGTTAATCAATCAGTCTTCTTACAGCCAGGGGCACAGAGGAAAAGTTTGCCCTTAAGAGTTAAAATATTTATATGTTTGAATTATTTTATTTATAGTGAAAATCTTTCTAGTTTCTGAACATAGAAAAATGCCATATAACTAATTTTGGGGTTGTTTAAAATAGAATTAGAATATGAGTGACGGCTCGGTACTATTAAATTGGTTTTGAATGTTTTGTAAAACAAAAGTCTCAAGTTTGAAGGTAAGAAGATTGTGCTTCAAAGAACACAAAATTGAGGTTTAGGAATTAGCACTTTTGCTTTGTGTTAGCATGATTATGTTATATATCAAAGGAAAATACACTACATGATATGTCATTCACTTATAATATATGATAAAGGTTAGTCTTCCATGTTTCATGCTTCTGATGTTATTTGTTTCTACTATATTTTCCACAAATTTATATTTCTTAAACCAATACTTAGTCTACCAGCTGGAGACTCTATTTGACTATTTTCAGTTTGTTTGGTTCTTTTTCTCAGCTGGTCATACTGCCTGAGTTGTTGGTGTCAGGTAGGTACTGGCTTAGTTCATAATTGGACATAATTGGTGCCATCCATAATACATAGAGAAAAAAGTGGTGACTAACTTAGAAATGTAAGTTTGAGTATTGAGGGCAAATTGTAAGCTCATCCAATGAGGGGATTTACAATATTGTTAGTTTCTTTTAGATGAAAGGAACACAAACTTTAATTTTTTGTTGTTGTTTCTCAGACAAAAAGCAGCCAAACTAATTTGTCCAAATAAATATCCTTTTGATTAATTAATATTAAACGGAAATGGTTTTTTCCTCCCATCTCGGAGGTGGCATAGTAAAAGCAATGTGAAGACATAGTGGGTATGAAACTAGACCTTCTATTCTGCTTAGTGTTGGGATAGTACAACTGGTGTTTTAGTTTAAATTTTGAGTAATTCTTAGAACTCAAAAAATCATTAAGTTTACACACATCAGCTTTTGTAATATATTGATTCCATTGCTATTCATAAACTTTTCTTCGTGTTAAAAGAATTTGGTATATTTCTCATAGCCATTAGTTATATGTCTTATTCAGTTTCCTAAGGAGAAATAATGTGGTCAAGAATAAAGTGGCAAGCAGGGATGTAGTAATGCCATTTATATCATTGGTGTTGTTTTATTTAATTATCATGTTATAGGTTTCTAGTTGTAAGGGTTTCTTTTCCAGATATATTGTAAACCCGTTGATATTGTCAAATCATTAACACAAAATTAACATTTCTCCTTTCAGAAGTAATGGACAACCCGTGTCCATGACGCAAGAACTCTCCGTGTGTGTTGGCTGTTACCATATTTTACCATATTTCACTGCATCTGAGCCTTTCTCAGTTGTAAAGCACCCTATCATTTATGTATTGCTAAGAAAGAAAAAAAGAAGCCAATTAAATTATGATGCATCAGCAATTTTGAGAAGTATTCGGACTTGTCACATGTCAAAATGTGAAAAAGTTTACCTTGAAATGTAACCCCTGTTCTCTGCCCTCTTGGTGCCTGTCCCTACTGAGTAGCACTGCTAGGATCAGTCATGCAAGAGGACGCATCAGTCCCACCATGAACAGAAGCCATTACTCAGTCTTACGCGGTTAAATAGAATGTAAATGGTTTTCTCAGTAAGCGTTAAGAGTTCTTAGCAAATAGCGACCTCCATGTAAGAGAATTCTTGGACAAATTCTGTTCTTAATTTCCCCCTAGATTACCTCACAATTTATTTAGGACCTATGAACATATTGATTGACATCAAAAGAGATTGTTAAAGGGAAAACAAGTTAGTCCACTTTAGAGCTCTGTCAACTCATTGCGTGAGTACCTTTCTTGAAGGTTTGTAAACAATGTGCACAGAACACATAGCTGTCCCAGTTTGCACACTGAGAATTGATATTTTCCATCTCTGACCTTGCCAGCGATACCCAGTCTTCACAACAGTCCTTCCCATTTTAAGAGCCCTTTGAAATATCGTTAAGTTATTCTACGTTTGAAGAATATAATGTGAATGCAGATTGCCTAAACTCAAATATTGCAACAATAAGACACACTTTTTTCTTTTTCCCTTTTTCCCCCCCTCATAAACCAGATGATGCTTCAATACATGTTATGTAGCAAGGGTAAACAAATACTTCGAAGCCATAAAACAAATCAAACTTAAATTTGTGGCTAGAAACTAGAAATCATCAACATTACATCTCCTCTTCTTTTAGGAGACCACCCAAAATAATTGCAAATTTTATCAGTACTTTAGCCAAACATTTAAAAATGTTTAATTTGAAGGTAAGTGCTACCATATTCCAAAAGGTCCTCTTTTTAAACTTTATAATCCTTTTATCTTTTAAGATATTTAACTATTTCTATCAGGGTGATCGTTCTTTAATGCCACCATTAATAATTTAACAGTAGGATGATTTAGAAGAAGGCAGAAATCATTTCCTAAAGGTACGTTAACATTTCCCAAAGATACAATATTCTGATTTTTCCCTCCAGGATAAGTAGGCAAAATTCATTCATATTACTTAGGCAAAATGTTGATTAACATTTCCATTTCTTTAGTGTAGTGAAATCTCAGGAACAGCGAGAACAAAAGGCAAAGCACTAAAATGCTGCAAATGTTGGCAACAAGAAAAGGCCCATGTAATTCACACTCTCCCTCAGCGCCACTCAGTTCCCAATTGAATGTACAATTGAGCTAACAAAGGGCATACACGCTAAATGGATTAAGATTTATGCGGTCATGCATTTACAAGTTCAAACCAATATTTGTAAATAAGCTGTATCTACCAGCTGCCTGTCAGGTCTCCGTGCAACTTACAGGTGTTAAAGGTCACATTTCGTGTCACTTATGATGGACAAATTATTAAGGGCAGGTGGAAAAAGAAAAAAGAGAGCTGAGAAAACTAATCGTTCTGCATGCAGTAGTTCTTGTTATTTCTACCGAACAGATCTTTTCCAATTGCATTTGAAATCTCATTTGATTACATTGCAATGGTTGGTTAACTTAAGCAATTTTGTTTCCAACTAAGCCTACCATATTAATTGTACTTACACATGTATAAACATAAGGGGTGCCTAGTTTGTATTTTAATAAGTAGGATCTTTATGTATGGCTTATTAGCATCAGCTTGTTACTGTGCAGACTGAGTACAGATGTCTAGAAATTGGCCAGTAAATAAAACATTTGAGGAGCCTTTTTTAGCTTCAGTTCTACAGAGAAACTAAATTAGAAGGTGAAAATTTTTCTGGTGAAGCTGAATGTTATCGAGTGTCAATCATGCTAACTTGGTTCTCCTAATTTAGCATTATTTTTATATCTTTAAAAAAATCACTTTGTTCAAATTGCATTTTGAAATGTTGCTTTAAGAGTTTTGTGTTTATAGGAGTTAAATTAATAGGTATTGGTGTTAGGTATTTCATTATTTCATCTGTCTTATTCATTTCATGGAAATACATCTCTTCTGTTGATTGAGGAACAAAGAGTTGTGAATATGTGAACTGTAAAAACATACCATATTTATTTTGGTTATGTTGTATCAAGATCAACACTGTTCTAAGTTATAAATTGGTATAGGTTCTGGGTGTGGCAGAGCTGTTTTCAGGGATAAAAAGTGGGGGAGTGGCGTGCTATATTAGTGAATAAATGAATTAAATGAATGAATTTAGTAGATTACCAAAACAATTTTAGGCTCTGGATGGATTTAGTTTTTGTTTTTGTTTTTGTTTTGGTTTTGGTTTTGGTTTTGGTTTGTTTGTTTGTTTTTCCAGCTTCTTCCTTTGGTAGAATTGCCTTGTTGGGAGAAAAAAAAATTTTAATATGTTTTTGCTACATGTCCTCCAGTTTTTTACTATTGCTTTTTTTTTAAGAGTCTTGTCAATCTATTCCCATTATGAAGATAAATGAAAAGGAGCCACAGTGCAAAACTGATTTTCCCCCAAATTCTGGAAAACCAGTTTTATGGGAGAGAGGAATATTAGTGATGCCTTACTCTTTTTGTTTATGCATATATATGAATGTCCATAGTTAGAGCATTATAATATAGCAGAGTTGAAAATAATAACCATGGGCCCTAAATTGTTAGTTATTCTAGGTGGTAACCCTTATGTTCTGTTTCTTTTATTGAAAAATAGAAGCTAAATATTT